TAAATTAATCTATGAAATTGCTTATATTAGACTTTTTTACTTATTAAAAATGGCAATTTCTTAAGGTTCGACCCAATAACAAAAAAATCATCTCTGCTTCTATAGTGACCTCTGTATGAAGCATTCTAGTATGATCCAATTTATGATACACCAAAATTCCTCAATTTGGTGTATCAATTTATGATACGGCAAAATTCTTCAATATATGTCAAAATTCCTCTAGTTTGGTTATTCCATCCCATTAATATAAGTAGGAAATGTTACTAGAGTTAAGAATACAGAATTTTACTTCGTTTACATTAAGGTTAGGTTAGGTAAGAAGTCTTTAGCATGTGGCAACAAGCCACCCTTTTGCCACATATGCAGAACTTTGTTTATCAACTAGCAGTGTATTTATTATGGTTACAGAACTGGAAAGGGAGTGGAGATTCCTTGCTAAACATCCTGCTCTCCAACTCTTTTCTCACAGAGACAAAGTCTCTTTCCCATTTCCATCATTCTTTGTCTACTATTATTATAATTTCCGGAGTTTGTAAAAGTCTGCTTCACTTGATGCGCAGATCCAAATACAACAAAAGAAAATATTCACAATGTTTGTGAAGTTTGTATTAGAGTTCTACTAAAAAGTTAAACAGTCAATCTTCTGTATTCATGGGTTCCGTGTCTATGGATTCAACCAAGCACAGCCTGAAAATTTTCAGGAAAAAAAGGATGGCTGTGCCTGTACTTAACATGTATAGACTTTTTTCTTGTAATTATTCCTAAACAATACAGTATAACAACTATTTACATAGCACTTACATTGTATTAGGTATTATAAGTAATATAGAGATGACAAAGTATATGGGAAGATGTACTTAGGTCCTATGCAAATAATATACCAATAAGGGACTTGAGCATCCGTGGATTTTGGTATTCAGTGGGGGTCCTGGAACCAATCCCCCACAGATGACTGTGTTTGAAAATACTTTCAGAAAGATATTTCTAAAGTCTTCATTTATTTGAAGTCTTTAATTTGGAAAATAAGAGATGGTTTTCAATATGGTTAAGTAAAACAAAAAACTTCCTGGCACCAGGTATGGTATAGTTGTGTTTTAAGAGGTACAATATCTTTTCAAAGGCTTCAGTAAGGGAAACTGGAGAGAAAGAGAGTAATAAAGTCTTTGTAATAAGGCTCTAACTTGCAGAAATGGTGCAACAGATGGGCAGGTAAAGGCAATCTTTTGAAACTGGCACTATTATTGCTTTTACTAATTATATCTCAATCTTTTACTGCACTGACCCGAATGTCCATGTTTTGCATATTTAATTGCTTTAGTCACGAAACATACTGGCACGTCCAGAACTCTCAAGCAAATAGCTTATCTCTATATGTAGAAAACGTGACTTTAAAATCTAGGCTATACGTATTTCACTCTGGATATAAAGAAGCAGTATAATAATTATTACAGAATTATCTGTCTCTTAGATTTTTACATATTAAATTATATCTGTAGTTACATTTTACAAAACATATTAATTATTGTCTGTCACTTAGATAACAGGTATTTACAACATGATCAGAATCACATAGTCAGAATAGGTATTCCATTATTATTGCCAAATACTAAAGGGTTTTATAAATTTTATTAAAATCCCAGAAGTCCATTATTTGAAAATATGCACTTCTGAGATAAGAAACAAAGGCATATAATAATGCTTAAATGTATATATTGTTTTGTAGTTTTTAAAAAGACTTTAGCATCACTTCATTGATCATAACACCTCTTAAAAGAGCAAGTATTATAATTGATACTTTACATTTATCAAGTTGAAGGGTGGTTTAGAACTGAAACCCAGGCCTTTCATCCTTATCCCAATACTAGTCCATCTGGAATTCAATAGGCTTACAATGAAATGCATTACACAATAAGTTATTGGAAACTGTGATTAAGCAAAATGACATATAATGAAACCAATTGTAACACAGGCTAATTGATATAAACAAAATTTAAGTTCCCATGGTGTATTTCTGGTCACAAAAACATCTCCAAACTTCTAAATGAAAACTCAAAACACTTCTAATATTAAACACTGAATTAAGTGTAAGCTATACATACATTTTAAAAAGATTAATAAAAGTAATATAATTATTTACCCAATTTTTGGTGAATCAGTGAGTGATGATGGTCATGGCGGTGGTGAGTTAAATCAAAGAATAAATGTTTGCAAACTAAAAATTGTCAGGAGCACGTCCTACCATGACAAAGTTCAAAAACAATAATATGGAGGGCTTGTTGAGCACTTTTCTCATAAATACAGCATGATTTCTCATAAATGATGCCAACGTATGATTATCATATATTTGTATGATTTATTACATATTTTAAGAATTTTTATTTTACGATAGTTTGAATTCATTCATTCAGAGTCCCATGTGGCTAGAGCCTATCCCAGCAGCTCGGGGTGCAATGTGGGACCCAACTCAAGACAGCATGCCATTCCACTGCAAGGTGCACTCACACATGCACCCACACTCACACACACACACACTCACTCAGACTGGGACACAATGTAGACATGCCAATTAATCTAACACGCACGTCTTTGGTATGTGGGAGAAAACCAGAGAAAACCCAAGCAGATATGAGGAGAACATGCAAACCCCATGCAGGCAGTCGTCCTGGGCAGGAAGCAATTTTTTTCTTATCAATGTTATAACAAAACAACGAATGAACTGATGTAATTTGAGGACCTGTCCTATTCTGTATTTTAATTAGAAATCACAGAATCATGAGTAACTATTTTTTTTCAAATTGTCTCTAATTCTATTCTATTCCCACTCTTCAGCACCTTACAGGTCTGTCCTGTTTTTTTCTCTGCAATACAGCCTTAATTAAAGGTCTCATTTTGCTCCAGGATCACCTAACCTCCACTACCTTCCTCTGAACCTCCTGCTGCAATGCTACCACAGTGATCTTTCTAAAACACAATTCTGATAGTTTCATTCCTATGACTGAAAACATTTGATGGCTTACTACTGCCAACAGTGGTGATTCTTAAACTATATAACTGGAGATTTTTGTTGTTCTAAGAACTAGATGAGGGTATTTAGGGTAGCTAAAATCAACCACCATGTAATGTCAATCAGCTTAATCATTGGGACAAGAAAAATTAAGAGAGACAGTTATACTTTTTAGCCCATATCTTTTTCTTAAATATTTCAGATTTTTTACCGTTTGTCTACTAAACAGACCTAATAGATATGAAAATAACAAAACAAAAACCAGTATTAACTCTGAGTGAACTGTGCTTAATTCAACAATTAGTTATTTTTGCCCCTTTGAGAGGTAGTAGAAAACATACTCATGATTTTTATTTCATATCATATACCTGTCATGTTTTTTCCAGTCCATGAGATAGTTAAATTACGCTTAAAAATGTAGAAACTGGCCGGGTGCGGTGGGAGGCCTAGCACTTTGGGAGGCCGAGGCGGGCGTATTGTTTGAGCTCAGGAGTTCGAGACCAGCCTGAGCAAGAGCGAGACCCCATCTCTACTAAAAATAGAAAGAAATTAATCGGACAACTAAAAATATATAGAAAAAATTAGCCGGGCATGGTGGCACATGCCTGTAGTCCCAGCTACTCAGGAGGCTGAGGCAGGAGGATCGCTTGAGCCCAGGAGTTTGAGGTTGCTGTGAGCTAGGCTGACGCCACGGCACGCTAGCCCAGGCAACACAATGAGACTCTGTCTCAAAAAAAAAAAAAAAAAAAAAAATGTAGAAACTAACAACTTCTACATTCTCTGCTTCTTGAACCAATCTGAAACCACTTATGTATTACCCTTCTGTGTTGCCTTTGGCAACTTATGTCACTGCTCTCATAGTTCAATGTATAACCCTCCACTGAGACACCTATCCCATTTTATTTTTTATTAAACATCTGTCTTCCAAATTAGTGAGTTCATTGAGGACAGAAGCAATACACTATTTATCTTTAAATCACAAGGGCCTGACACATAGTAGGCACTCAATAAAAATGCACTAGAAGAAGGAGTAAGTTCAACTAAATGAGAGAGCAAGACTGCCAACTATTTATTACAGTTGTGGAGTTTCATAACTTTAGAGCAAAGTCTATAAAATTTCCAGTATAATATATAACACATTATAAAAATAAAATAAAATAGTTCTACAACAGTTTTAATTCATGCTTTATAATATACCAGGCAAGATAATAAGTTGAATACAACAAACTCTATTAAAAACATGTCAATGTTGATTTTTAGAAATTTTCTTAAAAACATGCAGTACTCAGAGGCATCGAGTTAAATTAAGGATTCAGTCTATCCTACAAAATTGAATTATAATTAGAAAGAATTTTTAATTCTATGAACACAAAGTAGATAATAAATATTAAATTGTCTTTTCATGTCTCCCATATTAAAGGCTGTACTTAGCTCCCTGAACCCAGGTCAGTCTCTACTGATGTCAGGGCTTAGACATGAAAGTACACAAACAAACAAAAAAACCAATGTAGCTGAAATCATTACTTCATTATTGCAAGTGAAATTCTACAAAAAGAAAAATCTGCTGGCATAGCTTTCACAATGAAAAGTGCAAGTGTAAAAACTATGCCAGCAGGTTTTTCTTCAAGTGCAAAGGTTTTTCTATGTTAGAAACAGATGCCAAGCTTTATGAAACTGTTTATTATATAATAACATTCTCATGCTGTTTTGTTTTGTTTTTTTTAAATTTTTGAGCCCACCAGATATTCTCCATCAACTTAACTATTATCATCGCAGGTTTATGTTCCTGGGTACAACATATAAGCAGCCAGAGACATACTTAATGCGTGCTAAGGCTTATGGTTTACATTTCTATTAAATATCTTACTTGCCTCAGATTGATTGTTTAAGGCCTATGGCCTATAGACCAGTGGTAATGGCTGCTTTAAAAGCCAGCATTTTAAGATGAAATCTGAATAGACCATACGAAAGGAAAAAAACAATCTGAACTACTTACGGCCAGCAAGCAGGAACTGATAATACTGTACTGCATCTGCAGCGAGGAGCAGAGGGTGGTTTGCATTAAATGGTGGTTGCAATTCATTCCATTGAGGGGTTCTAAGGAAACAGCAGAAGAATATTAATATTTAAGCTTAATAGATGGGATATAAATCACCATGACAGTCATCACTGATGAACACTGATTTAAAGTCACACTATTTTTGTGATCATTAAAATAAACTTGTAATCATTAAAATGAACGTGCTGAAACCTGAAACACAAGGCCATCTGCTCAAAAAGAACAAAAAGGTGGCAGGCAGTGTTTCACACAAATAAGATGAAGTCAATAGTAGCTTAACAGCAGAAGACCCTCGAATAGGATAGACAAGACATTCAGAAGATTAAACAGAGAGGAAGTGTAGAATTCAAATGTTACAACTAAGTAGTCCTAATTTTATGTAATTTCTAACCTCTTTATTCTTAAAGTATGTATATTTTTAAAATAAAATAAGACAGGTAAAAACAATTCAAAAAACAGTTGTGTAAATGGATGACTTATTATGGATCAAATTAGCATCTGAGTTTCAAAATAAGTCACTATTTCAACAATGATAGTGCAGTAATTTTAATCAGATCTGCCCACTCCTATATAAGCTTGATAAATCAGATATTGATCAGATCAATCCAGCACAGTAAAGCGGTAGTAAAGAATGCTGGAGCCTACAAAAATCAATATAAGAATATTTTAAAATGTCAAAAGGACAGGGATCATTTTCATATCCATTTTTGTCTGTTTCCTTCGATATATGTCAGGAGCAATTTTTTCTCTCCTAGACAATGAACTATTTATTAAGCAGGTTTTATTCCAGGTTTCATTTTTCCATCTTTGTGCTAGTTTATAAAGAGTCTAATCATTATGCATTTTTAAGATGGACTTAGATTCTTAATAAACATTTCTATGATGCTTAACCATTGTATCTTGGAGAATCACTTTAAAGGAAACCTTCAAGTCATTTATATCAGTTTCTATTCCCCCTCCCCCCTTAATGGCTGTCTCAACGCTACGCTCTATTTTCAGTGAGCATGAGACTGCAAATAGGGGAAGCACATTTCCAAGAAAAGGTACACAAAGGTACAAAGAGAAAGGAATTCAAATGGAGATATTCTCCAAGGGATAAACCCAAGACAATTGAAAACATATGTCCACACAAAAAACTGTACAGGAATGTTCATAGCAACATTACTAATGTTAGCTACAAAGTGGGACTGTCCATCAACTAATAAACGGACAAACAGTATGTGGTATAACCATATAATGGAGTACTATATGGCCATAAAAGGGAAGGAAGTTATGATATATGCTACAACGTGGATAGACCTTGAAAACAGGCTAAGTGAAAGATGCCAGACACAAAAAGTCAAATACTGTATGTTCCTACTTATATGAAATAATCACAGCAGGCAAATCCACAGAGACAGAAAGTAAATTCGTGGTTGCCTAGGGCTGAAGGGTTTGGAGAAAATGGGGACTGACTGCTAATGGGTATGGGGTTTCTTTCTGGGATGAGGAAATTGATTGTACTGATGGGTACACAGCTTTTTGAAAAGTCACTTACAGTTAATTTTATTATATGTAAAATATGTTAAATGAAAAAGTAATAAACTATCATTTTGCTAGATGAAAGAAGCCAGACCCAAAAAAAGTATATACTATATGATTCCATTTATATAGAATCCTAGAAACTATAAACTAATCCATAGAGACAAGGAGGGACAAAAGGAAGAGATTACAAAGGGGCACAAAGAAACATTTGGGAGTGATGGATACATTTATTATGTTAATTGTGGTAATGATTTCACAGCTGTACACATATATCAAAATTTATCAAATGGTACACTTTTAATCTTCCACATCTCAATAAAGTTCTTAAAAAGAGAAAAAAAGAAAGGAGATACTACCTAACCAGAGTCCAGCTGGCTCGAGGTGATGTCATCATTTCCAGTGGAGTGTCATCACTAATCTTGGGGGCAGTGCTGAGGGGCCGCGGCTCTATCATGTGCTCCACTAAGGTTCCATAGCAACTGATAATGTACAGGGACTCAACTACAACTTGTTTGGATTGGTCTATAAACAGAGAAACAGAATCTGGATGTGTGATAATGTCATAAAAGGAACACAGCATAATTTTTACAAGTATTTGCTTATTAATCTGCTCCTGAGGCTGATCAGAGAAAATGAAAAGACAGGAATTTTTTTTAATATCGTGCTTGCTCTTTGCCTAAAGGTTGCCTCTTATAAGTAGATGCTAATGAATTTGAAAATCTCTATGCTACCAAATATTTTCAATTCTCAAGCAATTTATTTCAAAAATGACATACCTAAGGCCAAAATTTTAATGTAGTGAAAAAGTCTTTTGTATTTGTCTACCATGAAATTTGTCCTACATTATGAAAAATTAACAATATCAGGTAGGACAGGGAAAGACTGACCGAAAAGGCATAATGTATTAGTTACATTGGATAAGTACCAACTGAACTGCATGAAAGGCTAGTTGTATGCCTAAATCAGCCTGATGTCCCATCAACTTTCTCTCAGAAACTTAAATTTAAAACTTAAATTTCTGGATCAAAATTAACAAAAAAAAAAGCACATGATGTGTAAATGTAGGTTCATCAGTTGAAACAAATATACCACTGTGGTGGGGGGTGTTGATAAATGGAGGAGGCTTTGCATGTCTGGGGACAGGAAGTATATGGGAAGTCTCTGTACCTTCTGCTCAATTTAGCTGTGAATCTAAAACTGCTCTAAAAAATAAAAGTCTATTTTACACACACACCCACACCCACACCCACACCCACACCCACACACACAGACCCTCCACTAAATCCTCTTACTTCTTTTCTTTGAATAGGATCACTGGCCCTCTGTGGTAAATGAAGATCAACCACACTTCGAGAAGTCAGGTGCTGAATATGGATCTAATCAACTGACTTTATAAGGAATACATATGTACTCACTACCAAAACAGGTTTAGTCCTCTATCTTGGGTTTTACAGTAAACCTAGGAGCATATAAAATCACTCATGAATGCTGGGTGGGTCATCTTATCTCTATGTCAGACGAATCAATTACAGCTGATTTGAGAAAATGGCTAATGACCAGCCAGTGGGACATAAAGGAGTAGCAAGTTAAAAGGGTAATTAGAACAGAAGGGAGAAACATTTGAAATCGAGCTTCACAGAAGGTTTTAACTAGTAACAAAAAGTCCTTTCGATAGCATCATTAAACCTAAGGAGGTAACAAAAAAATAAAGATGGGATAAGGAAATGGAAGCCTTGCATACTTTACAGTATCCTCTCCCACTTAGGTAAGGAACCTGCTGTGCCTGAGATCCTATTACCAAGGAAAGGGTCACTGAAAGGCGATAACAAGAGAAAGGGCTGATGTCTGGCTGCCAGTATTAAGCATAAAGGAGAGCCATTTTGTCAAGAACAATACAGCCTGTGGAACTCACCAGAGAAGTGCCCCAGTAACAACGCAGGTTGTGACCTACTTTAATAATACTAAAATAATGAGAAAATCATAACTTAACATTCTAAATTACATGCTTGGTTCATTAATGTAGGCATTCTCTTCTATACAGAGACAATAAGGAAACACACTAGAACATCAATCCCAGAAATGTTTTAGATATTGATCCTGGTGATCAAAGCAAAGATTTAAAAAATAACTACAGTAATTCCCCCCCCCCATGTGCAATTCAGTTTCAGTTACCTGTGGTCAACCTCGGTCTGAAAATATTAAATAGAAAATTCTACAAATAACTCAAAAGCTTCAAATTGTACACTGAGTAGCATGATGAAATCTCACGCTGTCCCATTCTGTCCTGCCTGGGGCATGAATCATCCCTTTGTCCGGTGTATCGACACTGTATATGTTACCAGTCCGTTAGTCACTTAGTAACTGTCACAGTTATCAGATAAAAAAATATAGTACTGTACAGGGTTCAGTACTATTCAAGGTTTCGGGCATCTACTGGGGGTGCTGGAATGTATGCCCCAAGGATAAGGAGGGACTACTGTATATCAACTCAAAGGAGCAATGGTGACCACAAAGCTGACCTTATTTCTCAGCGCCAGGCTGTTTTTCATCATGTTTTAAAAACATGGCAGAGTTGTTGGTTATTTTTAAGATTTAATGTTAGAAAATCTGGTTTCAAACTCTGATTCAATCACATGCTTACTAGTGCTTTTAGCTAAGATATTTAAATTTGGTGATCTCAAGTTCATCTCTAAAACAGGGATAACAGGCTTTCCCTCTCCACACTTCATAGACAATGAAGTCAAATTAGCTTGTAAAAATATAAAAGTTATAAAATGGGTATGGAATTGATAGCACTGAGATCATCTGTAGACTGTTACCCTAAAAAACAAAACAAAATCACTCAATGGACAATTCATTTCACATCTATAGTGAGAGGATAGTTTTTCTTCTTGATCAGGCTCGTGTAGTTGAGGAGAGACATGCTAATTAAATGGAAAAATAGGTTTCTGAACTATCGGGTATAAGATTATTCTCGAAGAATTGTTATCAATTTTCTTTAAGAATCAAAAGTTACACATGGAAAGTTTGAGCATCAGTAAAAATACATACCTTTTTCTCTTTTCAGACCTGCATTATTTGCAAACCATGACCTGGATGTCCCAAAAATAGCAGCCACGCAAAACTCTCCGCCCATTGATTTGCTGGGTGAAATTTGTGGAGGAGGTTTAACTTTGCTTAAAAAATAAAATGACAGTAAAAAAAAATTATCATGATGAAATGACAGTCCTCTAATGACAGATTTCTCTTTAAATTCCACCCCAAAGTATTCAAATCCTCCAATATGAACATGTATTTTGCCTTAAGTAATAACTGGTAATGTGAGACTATGCTCTGGAGTAAAAGTAAAATTAGTTCAAAGTTCCAGAGTCTTGTCAAGATAGCAGCTTAAAAGACCAATAAAAACTAACTCCTTTTGGAAGTATATGCTGGCAAAGTCCAAGTTACTTCTTTTCAGATGGATAACATTTTCTTGGAGATTTCAATAGTACCAGAATAAACATTTCACAATAATAAAATGGATTATCATTTCATTTTAATATATAAAGAGAGATTAACAGTACACATGAAGATAGCATGTATGGCAATCAGATGATATAAAATGAAACCTTGAAACTGCTCTCAGCCTTAAAGCTATGGCAAATTAGACAATGTATGGGGAGAATATCTAATGATCTATTGCAATTATATTCACTGATCTTCCTATTGGTTGTTTCTTTTCCACCTTGTATTTGTGAAAATGATGTCCCTATTTTTACTTAGGGAAAAAGACCAAGGCAGAATTAAGTATCAATAGCCTTTCAAGTATAAATCTTTTCTGTTTCTCACATGTCTGAGGACACATTTAGTAACTGCTATTACTTCATATAACAACAATTAAAAAGGACTTGCTTTCTTCTTTGTTGTCTACAAATAAATGTTCATACTCTCAACTTCTACTATCTACCTTTCATGATCCTTCAATTCCTGTATTTCTGTTCTCTTTTATCAAGGGCTTCCCAAAGCTCGTTAGCAATTTTGCCAACCACCTTAGATAAATTATTTTCTCTAATTCATAGATCAGAAAATAGCCTCACTGTATACTGGTCAAGATCACAGCCCAGATGATAGACAATAAAAACTAGAGCTCTGATGTTCCCCTCTGCTAGTCAATCTTCAATGTCAAACAACATTATTTCTACCTTCTTTTCCCCACTTTCCTTTATCTCTTTATCTTTTAATAAAGTATGGTGGGATGGAAAGAGATAGTGTTGAAATCAGAAAGAAACATTAATTTGAATCCGAATGCTGTCACCTATTAGCTATTAGACTTTTGGTTAAGTTATTTAACCTCTCAGAGTTCAGACTACTAATACATAAAATATAAATATAGTGATTTCTATGTCAATGGATTATTTTAAGGATTATATTTGTTCTCAAAGTGTAGTCCCTAGTTAGTAGTACCACCTGGGCAATTTGTAGAAATGCAAGCAAATACTAATCAGGTACCACCCCAGATCTACTAAATCAGAAACTCTGGGAGGGGAGCCCAACAATCTGTGTTTTTTAACAAACTCCTTAGGAGGTTCTGAAGTATGTTCAACTTTGAGAACCACTGTATTAGACAAAGCAAGTAGAGCTCCCACGGCAGTCCTTTATCATATTATAGTACTCAACAAATGTTAACTCTTCTATATAGCCCACAGCACTCACTTAATTTCCAAAAAAATTAGACTTTGCTTTGGTAATTTCAGTTTCCCAGTTCCTTTGACACTTGAAATAGTCTCTCAGATATCTTATGGTCTGAGGCTTCTGTTTTAACATCTTCCATCTAAGGAAAGCTAAAAGTCTGCATCAGAGGCTACTGTGATTGTTTCCTTTGGTCTACCCCTTGGAACAAAATCCATGGGAATGCACATTGCTATATAAGAAAAAAAAAAACCTCTTCTTTCCATCATTAACACTTCTCAAACACTTCACTTTGTTCCCAAAACAAAAAACATCCATTCCTAAAATATCAGTAGCAGTCACAGTCAGACTTGCAGTGACAAGGAATAAAGACATAGTTTTTGTAAAAACAAAGTTTCTATGAGGAAATGAATCTGGTTCTACAGCTTTACTTCTTCACAGTTGTATATGCCACAACTGCAACAACCTACCTCCAAAAAAGAAGATTCTCCTCTGCCCTACACCTGAACAAAATGCACCTTCCCTTAATATCTAGGTCACTGGCATCAGAATTGTTCTTTCTGGTTATGATGCTCTTGGTCCTGTTACCTTAGAAAGTTATTATTTCCATCACTGAACTACTATCATTGAACTGACAAGTTCCTACAACTGGTATCTTTGAAGTACTATTGGTCATTTTTAACTCTTTAGGGATTTTGAGAGGCTGGTAGTGAGGAGGAGGAGATAAAAAACAATTCTAGGATTTTTTGAAAGCAGTTTGCAATTGTGTGACTACGTGCTTTTACTAGAATCACCATCAGAGAACAACGATACTACAATGTACCAATAAACCTCACAGGGACAAATTCAAGCTCTTTGTAAATTACTGGATGTGCTTTTTGTTGTTGTTTTGTTTTTAAATCATGTGTTAACAAGTGAGTATGCCACTTCTTAAGAGAAAATATGGTTTCTCTAAAGTATGTAGCCTAAACAGACTTAAAAATAGTTGCTTCTAGGCCAGATGGCCATCTCTCTAACATAATAATAGAGTATAAAAATGATAGGACATCAGTCTAGTATTTGAACATACAAAAATATATTATTTATTAGCTTACAGTCTAATCAGCCCATGTCAAAAGCTAAAATCTCTTACACACCTGTAAGTTACACATAATTCAGTTTTGAACACAGAAGTAAAAAGCATCCACAGTGTCATTTTATATAAGTTCATTATCTCCTATAGAGAATAATTATTTGATGGTAAATGTATGTTTAATTTATGTAAAGACTTATCATTTCATTATTATAGTTCATCATTTCTTCTTTTTCCTCTGATAGGGCCTTAATAAATGCCATTAGTAAGTCTCTGTTTAATAAGGAATCAAAAGAGTTTTCATCCTGAAAATAACTTGCTACCTGCTACATGACACAGTATTGGGTATAGAGCATATTGGGTAAACATATGCATATTAAGTTAATTCTGTCGTCAATCTACATCTGGAGTGACTGTGGTATTTAAACAAAACAGAAACATAAAAATATGTATACGTGTGTATAAGACTTGCAGAGGAATAAAAAGGATAAATATCTAATGAAAAGAATGTTATTAATAAAATGTTTTCTATGTGATATACCCAAAGTTAGAAATTTTAACTTTGGCTCAATTTGCCCTTCATCCTAAATTTCAAAAAGACCAAATCCAGGAAATCTTGGTAGAAGCAAAATGGCTTTTCTTCTAATGTGTGTTCAGCAACACACCATGTATGAACTTTTCCACAATGATACAGAATATTTCTATCACAAAATAACCTTTTGATGACAGAAAGATAAAACATTGGAAAATGATACCTAAGTGAATGGAATAAAAAAGTGTCAGCCTTGCAAATCAGGTAAATTTACAGATTGGTGACCTAATCCTTGTAAGGAGAGCATTCCAGTACTAACCATTTCTTCTTTCTTATTCTCAATTATCTCTCTGTTGCCTCTGAAAGGGGTCTTTAAATATCTCATTACAGAACATTTGCAAGTACAAAAAGAATTCCTCTGTAGCACAATAAATTACTACAGTCAACAATAAGTTATGGTATACTTTAAAATAACTAAGAGTGGATGGAATTGGAATGTTCCTAACACAAAGAAATGATAAATGCTTGAGGTGATGGATACCACAATTATCCTGATTTGAATAATACTCGTCGTATGCCTGTATCAAAACATCACATGTACCCTATAAATATATACAACTGTTATATACTCGTAATAATTAAAACTAAAAAAAAAATTCTGCTCATGTTTGGATGCCTTCTTTCATTTATTCATTTATTCAATTTACAATGATATAAAAATAATATTTCAATTTATATTGGTGTCCAGAAGTTTAATTGCATTATGTGGACTTACTCAGTTTTTTAGTATATGAGAATAAAACATACTGAGAGTTCTAATGCACTTCTTTCAACTGATAACCCTTGCTCCTTTACTCCCCCCTTAGCTTGTCATAAATAACTCCATGTTCAAAAAAAAATTTTTTTTAAATTTGTCTTACCTTTTGAGCAAAACATAAAAGAAAAATGAAATAAATGGAACTTTTACCATATCAGGTAAAATAATGATCACAGAACTTCATATTTACTAAGCTTGATATAAATGAACATAATTTATTAAAAAAACAAAATATACAAGCAAATAAAAAACCAAAATAAACAAATAAGGTGCTAAATTTAAAAATAAGGAGTTTACATTCTTTGTCGTTTCTTCTGAGGAAATGTTTAACCATCCAACCATAGAATGAGAATCATTTTCATTGCCATCAGAAGTTGTTGTAGGAATAATAACATTACAAGAGCCTCAAAAATATTTACAAAGTCTATTCAAGTTCCCCATTTTTCTTCCACTGGCCTTCATTATGATATGTAATCCAGTCAGATCAACATACTGAATTTCTTTTGCCTGTTTGTTCTCCACACTCAATTGCAGACAAAAAAAAAGAAATATAAAACTCTAATAGTATCTGCTAAAAATTTATAGGACAATGATCTCCATCTGTATAATTTTACTATGTACCATAGAAGAGGGATATAATAATATATGGTATGTCTGTGGATGGCATGATAAGCAGCAATGTGGTCTAGTGCCTTGTTTAGAAGGACACAAGCATGGAAGAAGCTAACATGAGATAGAAGCACCATTTCTTTACTTTTCTAAAACATAAGAGAACAGTCAATATTTGAGTTTAAATGCAAGAAACAATACTGACTGAAGAATTTACAAGTGGTATAACAGCTTTCTGTTAAAGAAGAAAAAAATATATTTTTTAGAAGTTTTCTCTCCCTCTCTACTTTATTTTCTAAAATAAGACTTAAGAGGGGAAACTAAAAGTATTTTATTTTAAATAACTAAAGATATTAATAATCTGTCTAAAATTATTCTAGTCAGTCACAAATTATTCTAAAGGTCTAACTGATTTATCTAAACATGACATGTAAGAAAAAATTCTCCTCTCCATATAAATCTTATCTTTCAAAAAATAAAATTTTAAAATATTCGAGAACAAAATTAGTTTACATGAAGTATTTATATATTGATCAAATGTTCATAGAGAATGCCAATTAAAACTAAATATAATTTGATATATCAATTTTAATTCTTTAAATTTAACCTTATATAATAAAAAGACATTTTTACAAGTAAGGGATGTATTCATATGGACTACCTATTTTCCATCAATTATGCATATTTTTTGATAAGCAATTCAAGAATAGCAGTAGCTTAAATACAATACTACATGCACATTAGGAGTGAAATAAATTCTTCATACTTATGTATAATACTGAAAGATATAATTTTAAAAACTCACATTGGAATTATTTATCTTAAATTCCTATGTTTAAAAGCATATGTTACATGTGTAATGCTTTTATATTATTTTATATAGTCATTCAAACTCAAATATCCTGGGTAAGCTAACCTAGAGGATATATACTACTAGGGATGACTAAAATGTCAAAGATGGACTACTTAGTTTACTTTTCACCAAGCTTATTTTGTTATCAAAGGGAAGGGCCCTATTTTAAAACTGACTCATCTGAAAGTGCATGAATTTAAAGAACTAAAACAGTTTAATAAAGAATAAAGAATTAGTAGAAATTGTGATATACCAAAAGCAAACTCTTAATTAAGGTAGGTGTTGCAACTTGAAACTAACAAAAAATTTGTAAGAAATTTACATTTCTTTTTAAGAGGAATTAGAAAAATTTTATTTTCATCCCAAATACATATATTACCCTACAACTGGAAATACTATAAACACATTTATTTAGCACAATGTTTTATTTCAGAATAGTAAATAAAAATGTTCTCAAGTTGAATGCTGAATAACTTGGGAAAATAGCAAAAACTATTTAAAACAAAGAAGCTCTTAGAAACAACATGGAAGAAGTTGTCAAATTTATATTCATTTTGCTGCCTTAATTTGAGGTTTCATTAAGATCTTAATGGAAAAAACATGCACCACTGGTAAAGGAACATTTTAAAGGAAGACCTTTTAGTCTAGTATAAGTGACTAAAAATGAGTTTCTTGTGAGCTAACGATGGCATCAAACAAACCACAAAGCAGTCTTCTAAAAGACAGGCAATGATTTAGAAGTCTACTATATTTCATATATCCCTTTCTTTAATCTGGCTCTTTTAATCTTGTTTCAACCTCAAATCATTTCTGGTTGACAAGTGCTTTTGCTTAAATGTGAGGAGCACATAAGCTGTTGGAGGAATGAACTTTTCTTATTTAACATACAATGGTTGTTACTCCATCTTTACGTCTACGCAAAAACTTCAATCTTTATTAACATATTAAAGCTCTTTCCTTTGTACTTAGAGTGAAGAATTTATCCTAAAATGGAATTTAGTTCTAAATTTGGTCTACAAAGAAATTTTGTCATATGTTGAATATGTCATAAAAATTCACTACTCAATGTAAGCTCCTAAGTTTAAGAGACACATATCTTATTTGTTTTTAAAAGAAATCTGGTTAACGAAATGAGTAAAGATTGACTTTCATGAGATTTATACTCATATACACCCTGAATTTGTTTAGAATAGTTTTGAAAACTGTGTCCTAATTGTAATACTGCACTTCAAGGAGGAAAATTTTATGATTTGTTTTATGTCACCTATTATTATATGATAATGAAATATTCAGATATTCTTGTGGCATGTGAACACTGAATTAGTTTGTGTCAAATAAAAATGAATCTTAAAGAAACTATTTAAGCTTCTTTTTGTCCAAGAGAAAAAAGGTTGGGACATTCTTTCTAGTATTAAATAGAACACTGTGAACAATTCCCATTAGTTGTTATGAGAACTACATATATATGTGCAGAAAAGCAGAACTCTTTTAGGTATTCTGACTAAATCAACAAAATTGACATACCTTACATTTCTCAAAACTTCCCTTTGTCTAACATACTCTTAAAAGCAGAAAACATGGTCTGATTTAAAGAAGCTTCTTTTCAAACATGGTATTTTCCCCTGAAACTGGAAAATAAACAGTAGTAGTAGCTAACATTTACTAATCATTTACTATGTGCCAGGCACTGATATATACCAAATATATACTAATATAGATATATCTACATCAATTCATTTAATCCTCATAATGAACTCATGAGGTAGGTTCCTTTAATAGATAAGGAAAACAAGAAACAGGTTTTAGAAAATTTCCCCAAGATCATATTGCTAGTAAATGTGTGAGTTGGAATTTAAGATCCAGGCAGTATGATTCTGGAGCCCCAACTCTTAATCATTAAACATTTAACACCAGATTCTTACTACATTGTATTTCCCATCTTTACAAGAAAGTATTAAGTATACTCTATTTCTTTTCTATGATCATCATGCCTAAGACTGACAATGCTATATTCTATGCACTGTTACAAAAAGAATTTACTAAACATTTAAGTTACAGTGAGTAATGCTAAAAATTCAAAATAATAAATTATTTAGGAGTTTTATGTGAAATATCACCCTCATGTAGCTCCTTACATACTTAAACTATTCAAAACAGAGGTGACTATTGTCCCTTTAGGACTAACTAAAATGCAGTAAAACTTCATAGAGCATTTTTGTTATACCTTAAATACATTTATATTTCAAAATAAATTATGTCTTCCAACGTTACGCATGATATATAGGGAACTTCTATCACTATACTACTCAAAGCTTTAATCTTGGGTGTTAGCCTTGTCTTGTAATATCCACAAGTATTATGAGAGAATTCTATTTTCTTTTTTTTAAATACTCTGTTTTTCTTTTTTACTTTCAAGGAATGAAGTAAAACCACAAAACTCCTTTTTTAAAGCTTAAATATCAACATTCATGTTCCATCTACAAATTATTCAGTAATTTGGTGCATCTATCTGTGATCAGGCCATGCAACTGAAAACAAAACAACAAAACAAAGTTACTTTTTGAGAGTACAGCAAATGAATTAGGCATGCGGGACTGAACTGGAACTCACCATGGAGCTTTTATGGAAAAACACCCCGCTCCAAAGAGATAAGGCCTTCATGGAAAAGGGGGGAAAATGCACAAAAAATTAGAGAAAAACTCATTTAACATTAACAAATACATGTATATCATACTGTTACAGAGTATGGATAAAAATAACTAAAAAATTAGTAATCATTTGCAATTCTGTTGTACATACTGTCTGATATAACCGATACACAGAATAATGTGTAATAACAAGGCCCTTAATTTTCATAGAGTTAGGGATTACAAAATTTTCTATTTCTCCCCCTTTTCTGGAGCACCCCTACAGTATTTCTAAGTTAAAATAAAATAAAATTCATTGCTGAGGCCCTTTAAAAAAAAGTACAAGTTAAATGGAATAATCAAATGGAGAAGAATGAGCTCAATAGCAACCAATATGTGGTTGTGGGACAGGAAATATTTGAAATTAGCTAAGGAAAGCTAAATGAAAAATTTGACACACTGTTTGCTGTTCACTGGTTGCAATCTCAGAGCCACAGAAAGAAGGCACTTATTTTTCAAGCTGTTTATTTGTAGTAAGTTGAACTGCATATTGTTGGTCAAAGAAATAAACACAAAGTATAAGTAGTATTATGATTTTTCTTTATTTTTGGTCATATTCCAGGAAATCAGCGTGTCTCTTAATAGCAGTACAAGAGGTTGGCTGCAGCTTCCTCTACCTGGCCTGCACCAGGCTAGGTTGGTATACAGTAAATTAAAGCTACAATTGCTTGTTTTAAATACAACTGGGGACATAAAGTGAGATTTCAATGTTAAAAATATTTCATTCTTAAAATTCATTTAAGATATGCTATGCATATTTGCACACAAAGACGATTGAGTGATTTAATTATATCTAGAACAAAATGGTGCTGTGGCATTTGACGTTTGGAAGACGTACAAATGGCTGGGGGGAGGGTCAGGTGTGGTGGGTCACGCCTGTAATCTCAGCACTTTGGAAGGCCAGAGCAGAAGGATGGCTTTGAGGCCAGGAGTTCGAGACCAGACCTTGTTTCGACATTAAAAAAAAAAAAAAAAAATTTGCCGGGCATGGTGGCATGCACCTGTAGTCCCTGCTATTCGGAAGGCTGAGGTGGGAGAATCTCTCAATTCCAGGAGTTCAAGGTTATAGTGAGCTATGATAAGGCCACTACACTCCAGCTTGGGGAACAGAGTGAGACCCTGTCTCTGTCTCTTAAAAAAAAAAAAAAAAATAGGGGAGGAAAATTGGTAAAACATGGAAAACATAGGTATTACTTTCTTGAAATTTGGTTCGAGGAACATTGAAAAAAATCCTGCTGATTAGCATTAATTTCCCAGTAAATTGTGTATATTTGACCACAAATTGAAACTTAAGGAAAATGTTTTCATAACAGTAAGTACAATTTTGAGGCTTGAAACACATAACATACAAAGAAGGGAAGTGAGACATAGAAAAAAGATAGTAACTGGAAGAAAGTGAGGTAAAAGGAAAAGTGAGATATGGGTAGGGGGAACTTTAGAGATAATGTCAATGCCAAGCAAGGACAGTTCTCTCATAATTAATGATAAGAACACAACCACGGATATGATGTCATCATCCACATTTAAAATAGTGGATTTTAAACATTTTGACTATAACTGATAGGAATACATTTTAGGGTGCAAGCTGGTATGTACAGGAATACACACACAAGATTGAAACAACAATTTAATGAATGTGGTTTTTATTTGTAATAAACTTTATTATTTTCCATTTCAGTGTTTTATAAACATTAATGTTGGGATTATGTTACAATGCAGTTACATGCATGTTCTAACACAGTAGGTCTGGCTTGGATCTGAGATTCTGTATTCCCAGCAAGCTCCTAGGTAATGCCAATGCTGCTGGTCTGAAGAAGCACTAGCAAAATTGCATTTTATTCTATTTCATTTTAAAAAAATGCTGGTCACAATTCCCTTATCTGATTTCATGACTAGCTAATTACAAAATGTTACTAAGCTCACTCTACACTTTGAAAAACACAGGTTTAAATAACGAGACTACCTGAAGAGTCTAATCTCTGAATAGCATAATGCTCCCATTCCAAAATGATGAGAAAACAAAAGATTCAAGCCATTTCTATATGCCCACAAATACCTCTAAAACAAACATGTTTTTGCTGCCATACAATACCCAACTTCTCTTAATTTTATTTCATTAGACAGTACACCTGAAATAACCAAACAGTCCACATGATTCTGACTGAAGTGCTTGCAATCTGGAACTCAAGGCTTAAACTGCTCTTTATTGTATATTGTACTTACTCTGGACAGTCTCCCATCTCATCCCTAATATCAGAATAAAACTGATTTATTATAAAGAATTTAGAAGTTTTTACTTAATCCTTTATGACTTCATCGACTCCAAAAACTAACCGAACAAAAATCAAACAAAACCTTCAAGTTTCTAAACATTCAAAAGACCATCTGATGTTCCCCACCTATCAAGCCAGTAAATACCTTTTCCCAGGCTTAGGTTTCCTTATATATAACAAAGAAACATATGTTAGCCAAACAAATGATACAGAAACTTTAACATCTCCTAGATTTTCCTTTCCAGGCAGTAACATGTTGCCAACAAGATTTCTCCAGCCACTTCCTTGCCCCATGATCCCAAAATGCGCTATAAAACTCCAGACACGGTAGTTAACAGGCTTGTACTAAATAAATAACATCATTGTCAAGTTTAAAGACAATAGGCTCACTATTCACAAGGTAACCCACCTGTGTTAGTTAAAAGTTATCCTACTTCATTCAAATAAGGATCCACTGGCTAATACAGCTCAAGGAGGAAGAAGGGGGTTGAAGAGACAAGGTGAGATCCTGGTTTAGTATGTACACTTGGTATGCATCCAGTGAGTACTCATCCACTTCTTGCCTAGTCCTATGAACTGGACCTCTGCCATATACATGTGAAAGAAGATCCACAAACTCCAAAGAACTGTAGTGACTGATGTAATTACTTTGTATGGGTAGTGTCAGCTGTTCTTTTGAAATGTGCCTGCTTCATCTTTTCTCAGTAGCAGAAAAATGAAAATATAAAGTCACAAAGTATAAATCCATGATCCAGCTGTCTTCATCTATGACTTTCCTCTCCCCTTCCAAAAGTCCACAGCTGTAGTTTTGTAGTGAAGTGGTATGGGGGTGTGAAGAGGAGGGAAGAGATATGTGAGTGGGAGTGTATGCCGAATTAAATATTGTCTATAGTAACATATGCAACTCAAATTACTATATTCAGACCTGAAGAATTGTTTTCAAATTACTATTAAGTTTCAGTAGGCTTAGCAATCCTGCCACATAAAACTTGTTCAATTTGTCAACAATTTTGAGCTGAATTCTGATTGAAAAACCTCAAGAAAAATCGGTCAAGGACTAAAAGTCCAGAAACATTACAGACTTATTTACAGACCACCATGAAATGACCTGGCCATTAGTTCTCAAAGGGTTTCTTCTGGAGACACTCAGAAGATAGGAAGGAATTATGTTTTATAATATACCATAATGCTATGTAAGTCATTAAACTCTGATCCATTTTGTTGAATGTCACATAATACCACAAAGTCTTTGGGGTCTTACTAGCTGAAAACAAGGCAAATGTGAAGATTGTTTTTAATGTAAGGAAAAAGTAAAACTAGATTTTATTTGAAATCCTCAAATCCTCTATACTCTGACTCTACTGCTAAAATGTATTATGATTCTATTCAATCACCTTCAGAGTTAAAGAAGTACGTGGAGTCTAAGACAAATTTAATAAACATACTCTGTAAATCCTCTTTTTCAATTGATCACATCCTATGACAATTCAGGCACTACCATGTAACAGACATCAGAATGAACTCATATAAATATTAAATGTACTGAATAAGACATCAAGGAGAAAAAAAGCTATACAACATTATGTGTAAAATATTGCAGTAGAGCTGTATTTTTCTAAAAATAAATTCTAGGGACTCTAATGATTTCTAAATTCTGTGTGCTCTTTAAAAGAACAACTGAAAGTGAACTCACATTTCTTGCATGCGTATGAGCAAATTATTCCTAATGTAATTTTCAAGTTGTACTTTGAATTTTTCATTAATTTTAATTCCTCTCTACCAAAGAGACCTGTGGTACTGCTGGTGCTCAAACTATTGATCTATAGGGCAAACTGAAGCTGAAACAGACAATAGGCTAATTTTAGATATATATGACATGCAAATTCAAATTATAAACTCAAGATTTAAAAGATTTTCATTATGAAAACATAGATAATGTTCAAATTCTGCCGTATGTGGCAGAAAAGACACTAGCATATTAAAAATAAAGTCAAACTTCTGTAGAAATTTATGCCTGCTGATATATAGTAGACATCATCCAGAAAAAAAATTCCCAGATTTATGGCAAAATGCAATAGACTATGGTGTAGTTTAAGTACTCCATTTATTCAGCATAAAAATTGGAAACTCAAACTATGGTAAATATAATTGCACATATAGTCATATCCATATATATTCTAATGAAAATACAACGTCCATTATTTTACATGTGGAATCAAAGATCCATAGTTTAGCTATGAACAACTACTAGTTACCTAAGACAGAAATGAGAGGTGGAGAATTACCATGTGCTATTGTATCTGGTGGGTGTTTCTCCAAATCTTTCCTATTTTATTCTCAGAACTTTGCCTATAAGGTCTAGGACTCCAGGCCAAATTATCTAAATGAGACAAGGTGGACCTAATTGAATTAAAATAAGGAACAGACCTTCTTTAAGGCCTACTATATGCCAATGTCATTTACTCACATAGCAAGGTGTGATGGGAGATTTGGTCTACAAATATAAACTAAAGATGTTCAAGTAAATGCTATTAAACGCTTCAATTTAGTATTATTTAAAATCATCTATGTTTTCTAAACAGGGCTTCTGCTCACTAGCACTGGCCCAGGGCTGCCTAAACAGTGAGGTTTAGAAATGAGGTAATGGCATCAAAGAACTAGTAGGAAATTATACCTGAGAAGGCTAAAAGATTACAATCCACATATATAAATTTTTCTTTTTCAGGTGAAGAAACTTACCGAGGACACACTGGTAAACAGGAGGCAGAACCTAGATGAGAAGCCAGGGCCTCAGACTTCTAATTCAATATTTTTCCATTATGTTACCTAACCTGCTACAGAGTGGGGCTCAAGGTTCCTAATACCTCCCTCTAACTCCTCAAAAAGAAATGAATAACGCTGGGATGAGGGGAAAGGAATGGAAAGCTACTTCCATTTAAGAAAAAGGAAACCTATGAAAGAGCAAATCTTTTCATGTTTACTTCGCAAAAAATGGTCACCTAGGTAAGAGCAAGGTAGTAACTTCATTCTCAATTTTTATATTTTTTGTTCCCATGAAACTACTGCGACTTCTTTCTGAAACTTACTGTTCTTTGCTCATGCCCACAAAATAATGAATATATATAAATAATTTCAAATTTAAAGCAGATAAAATTAAGCACACTGGCAAAAATTTTTGTTTTGTAAATTCTTACACAGAAAGCATTTTTAAAAACTTGATCACTCCCTTGATTCATAAATTCAATAATTAAATCTATGCAATGCTGCTAAGAAATCCCTACTATAAAAACCTAACATCCAAGACATGGAGCAATCCCTAAGCACCCAGTTTCACTTTTCATGGATGAGGAGAGCTATTCTTATTTATATATGATGAAAGCATGATCAATATAGTACCCTGGGCTTTCTAATCCTCCAGTCTTAGACCGGAAGAAAATGGATTCTGTTTGAATGGGTGACTGTTGAAGCCAAATAATTTCTAGCACTTCTTTTACCTTCACCAATGTATACCATCATAGAGTTAATTAAGCAGCAGCTGTTGCCAAAACGGGCCTTATTTCCTCCAAGTGCTGCTTCAAGGTACTGAACAAGAAGGTGTAAATACATCTGTCTTTTGCCATTTGTAGGTCTACTGGCCTCATGTATGTCTTGGAGTGAGACAGATGGTCCCTGACACTGCACAGGCTTTCAGGGATATGTATTTGAAAAAATAAGAAGGCAGATGTTAAATATGGTAAACACACGTTTTGTCCCCTGAAGGTTTAAGTTGATGCTTCTATCTCAATTTGGAGATTTAAATATTGGATCCTAGGAAATCCTTAGAAATCCCTGCTCTAGAAATTTAACTTTTTATGGTTATTTTACGCCTATATGCAAAATACCTAGGACACGGGACAAATGAAAACTGATTTTACCTAAGTAAGTATACAATTTTACTAACTATATCATCAGGTATATTGGAGGTAGTCATACAATTTACATGTTTATAAATGCTCTTTGTACACAATCCATGTCAAATACTTATTAATTTTATTTTAAAAACACTAGGAAAGGAGTTTCATAAAAGCAAAGTTTGAGTAAATGAGAATTTCCAGAATGAAGACAGACACAGAAAATGAAAACCCCACTTGCTCATCACCTTGGTGACCTTAAAGTAGCAATCAAATTTCTCAGTAAATACAACAAAATTTCATGGAAATAATTAATGCAAATTAGCTAACTGTAGTCTTGAGAACTGGCCACAGTAAAAAAGAAAAAATAATAATAGTGAAATAAACAAACATAGCCTTTAAAATCTAATTGGATGAAATCTAATGAGATGACCTATTATCTGGGATTTGCTTCAAAATTCAGCATTTGGCAAAAATGGAAATTCAGAGAATATATTTTGTTCTCACAAATCAAGTATTACTTTGACAAGGCGAAATACATGTATTTTAATAAAATGTTAAGTTTTAAGATAGTAAAACTACAATTATATTCTGAAAACTCTATGAGTAAATGTGTAGGGTTACCTATAGTAAAAAAATGATAATGAAACTGACAATAGCAGTTTCTGAGTATAACCAACAAACTCTTCAGGCAGTGGCTTAAGGGTATTAAGTCTTATCAACCCAGCTGTGGTCAAGTGTAAGTTATGACCACTATCATCAATGTCTTTATCAGTCACCGTACTTTATATTAACAGGAAGGGATAAAAAGAATAGTACACGGGGAGGTAAAAAAAGAACAGCATGTTGGGTAATTTGCAGTGCACTAAAGCTCTGCTGCAAGTAGAAAATTCATTACATGCAACAATTATTTGGAATAAAAAAGCAACTAATAAAATAGATTGTAAGATCTCTTGATAATCGTACTGTGTTTATGTAAGAGAATGTCCTTGCCTTTACAAATTACACACTGAAGTATGTAGGAATAAGGAGATATTAACTTTGCAACTTATTCTGAAACATTTAGGAAAAACATAATGCGTTATTGTATATGCAGACAGAGTGAAAGACTGTGAATACTACAGCAAGTAAGTTAAACTATTAACATTTGGGAAATTTGGGTATACAGGAATTCTTTTTGCTAGTCTTGCAACGTTTTTGTAAGTCTGAAACTACATCACAAAAGATTAAAACCAAACACTCATTGTGAGACAAGTATGAATTATTCTGTCTAAAAACTTCGATGCAGAGCATGCTAAAAAGAATTTAAAAACATGGCAGAAATAAAATGGTTTCAAAATGGAGATACAAAGCCTAGTCGACAATACACATATCTTACACTAACATTAGTTTCAAAGCACATAAAATAACTCAAATTCATAACACTTCATTAATAATTATTTTGTCCACAGTAAAATAGTATACATGCTCCAAAAATCTAGAATTGTGAGAAAATTTATGAAAAGAAAAGGAAACATAAAGAATTTATTTAAGTTCATAAAGTATGGTAGCACAGGAGGACACCTGATGATTAACAGTTTCTATTCATTCTAGTGTAGAGAGAAAGAGGATAGCAAGAGACCGTGAGAGAGAGAGATTTTTTCTTTTTATGGAAAATTTCAAATGCTATATATGAAAGTAAACTCATTTCTCACCCCTCCCCAAAAATATTTTGAATTAAATTCTAACATTATATCATTTTATGCATAAAAATTCAGTTACTATCACAGAGATATATTTGGAGAAGTTTATTAGAAAAATAGAGCTAATCTTTCCATTATAAAACATTGTAGCTCTTAAATTAAAAAACAAATACACACACATCAGAAACAAAGCACCAGAATATGCTTTCATGTCTCCAGGAACCTTTTGAACTTTCTTCTTATACTCCCCTTGCTCTGAATATAAAATTAAATTACAGAAAAACAATTTTGAGGATGGTTTCACTTAGATTCAGGAAAGACAGGCAAAAATTTTAACTACTTTGTAGTATTGTACAATGCTCAGGTGAACTAAAAAGATACAATTATGTACTGACTGACTTCAGTAAGTGAAAAACAAACTTTGAAATTATGATTCAAGATTTAGTCTCATTTTTATTTGATTCTACATGCCAGGAATGTAATATAATACAGGCCAAATGACCACTACCTTAAAATGTCTGATTTGGGATATAGGTTTGCTGTATTTTTCCTTTTTTCCCCTTAAAATGCCACAAACTCAATTTTATTTCTTTATATAGCAACAGAATCACTTTATACACAAACACCACTCGTGTATAGGTAGAGAGCTAATTTCTATGTTATGATAATAACCTAGAACATAAAGGCCTTGTACCTGAGAACACAGTATTTTTTCTGACAAAAGTGACTTCTATAAACACATTAACACTGGGTATAACAATATTAAAATATATTGACAAGAGTAGCCAAATAATTTAATCTATACATTTTGTTGGAAAGGCTCTGAAGACTATGTGAGGTCAAGAGAGAGTTTTCTCCTGATTATTTAACACAGAGTTTTAAGACAGTTGTTCCATTTCAAATTAGCTTAAACATCAGGATTGCTCATTGAAGAAAACAAATAATTTGCCTATAGATATATATTTTTTCTGACATAAAATGGATTTTCAGTGTTATTATACAACTGAATATTTTAATGATATCACAGACATAGTTTACTTTTAGGAGCCCAATTTAGTGATAATTTTATATTTCTAACAGGTAGAAAAAATTTTAAATAGCTAAAATAAACACAAACAAATCAAGTTGGTCACCGAAAGTCTTTAAGGATGTTAATGACCAATTTTGAATAAAGCTCAAATCTTAGTACTCTGGTTTTTGAAAACCACCTACAACATTGCATTGTCCTGACACTAATGACAGATCATTATATGTAAATTATACCTAAATATAGATGATTTTTTTTTTTTAAGCATCAGAAACATGGTTGTCATCTAAAGTTCTCTCCTTAGTATTTGTGTCTGTCAAAATTTAGGAGTCATTTTAAATCCTCATCATGTTTGCAGGAGTCAAGAAAATGAAACTACTTTCAGGCAAAGCCACGAGGCAGCAAGTATAAGACTGAGTAGATGAATCTGTTTTTTATTAGCCAATACTAGTTTCACAACTTGTCAGTGCTTTGTTTTTTCTATGGATGTGTGTGTACATAGTTGTGTGTGAGTATGTTTGTGCAAGTTCTATACTTTGTACTTAATCTGATGCCATTAAGTCTCATATGGGCTGGAAATGAAGAACATAATCAAAACCACACAAAGAAAAAGTATGTTTTATTTTTACTCATTCAACGCTCTAAAACAGCTGTTAAAAAGCATCAAGCCTGAGGCCTTACCCTGTTCGTTTGGTGATGGTCCCCAATGTCATTGGCTGCTTGATTTGTGCAAGAGGCGTCACTACCATCAAGCTGGGGAGAGGAGAAAGTCGAGGGTTGCCAGGGTTGTTGTTGGTAAAATTGTTGTAGGAATCTTGGCTGTTCAGTTTCCCTACAAAGAGAAAAATCAAGAAAAGCATCACTTAGGGAAGCCTCCTATCTCTGATAGAGTTTTCATTGACTCCAGTAATCATTTAAGAAAGGCACTGAGGGCAGAATCAATGCCAAGAGAATTATAGTTATATGGATGAGAAGAAATCAAACTATTCTGGTAACACCAAGTGTGACTTGATTATAAACAGATTTCAGTCTTTGGCAACAGGCGGTGAATTCTTTATCTTTCTAAAGACAGCTAATATAGTTTGTTGCCCTTCTTAGGTCATTACATCCAACAAAATTTGCTGCTTTCACCTATACCTTGTCAATTTCTGGAAAAAAATGGAGCAGGGCTTTTGACTGGCATTATGTTGAATCTGGAGGTCAATTTAGGGAGCACTGTCAGCATAACAATATTAAATCTTTCAATCCAAGAACTTGGGATGCCTTTTCATTTACTTAGGTATTCTGTAATTTCTTTCAATGTTGTTTTGTAGTTTTCAGGGTACAAGTTTTATACTTCTTTGGTTAATTTATTACTAATTGTTTTATTCCTTTTCATGTAACTTGTAAATGCAATTTTCTTAACTTTTCAGAGTGTGCATTGCCAATATATAGAAATACAGATAATTTTGCACATTGATCTTATATCCTACAACTTTGCTGAACTCATTTCTTAGCTCTAATAATTTTTGTGGGCTCCTTAGGATTTTCCACATACATGTCACCCTCAAAAAAGGGATAGTTTTTTACTTCTTCCTTTCCAATCTGAGGCCTTCTATTTTCTCTTTCTTTTTTTTCCTTTCTTTTTTCCTTTCTTTCTCTCTCTTTCTCTCTCTCTCTTCTTCCTTCATTTCTCCCTTCCTCCCTCCCTCCTGCTTTCCTTCCTTCCTTTCTTCCATTTCCTAATTGCTCTGGCTAGAACCTTCAGCACTATGTTGTATAGACAGGGCAAAAGCAAACTGTGATTTGTTTTTAGTTAATTTTTGTATTTGTAGTGAGGTTTGAGGTTCATTGTTTTAAGTATAGATGTCTAATTGTTCCATCACCATTTGTTAAAAAGATTATCCTTTCCCCATTAATTGCCTTTCCACCTTTGTAAAATGTCAATTGACCATATATGTATGGATCTATTTCTGAATGGATCTATGAGTTCCACTGATCTATGTGTCTATCCTTTCACCAATACCGTGTTTTCTTGATTATTGCAGTTTTCCAGTGAGTCTTGTTAATTCATAGATTTGTAGAGAAACTTAGACACACACAGGAATTTTTTTTTTTACTAATCTGAATTAAGGCAACAACTTTACATGGACAGCAAAAGAATATCCCCCAAAAGTCTTAATATCTTATTTCTAAAAAAATCATGAAAGACATCTATTTTTTAAAATAGCATGGATTTAAGATAGAGGGAGAACTACCAAACAGTATCTAATGGTAGTTTCAGAGGCAGTAAAAAGTCAAAGTCCCTTTTTTCAAAAATCCTAACAAGATGACAGTGCCCTCAGAATTAGGATAATAGCTTAACCAAATGCTACTTCTTCCTTGGACGCAAATCTATCTTTTTACATTACTCTATGGAAGTATCAAGTTAAACTTTGACAAACGTTTCTTTTGCAAAATAAGGAGAAAGATAAGAAATTCATGCAAACAAAATAAATATTTATCATTCTATCCCCCCAATTTTTCCAATTCAGAATACACCTTAAAGTTAACAGAAGCAATCTACACCTGACTCAGGCATCACAAAAGACAGAATTTATAATATGTACAAGATGCTTTAGGCTGTTCAATAAATTAGACAATAATATTACACTCATACAACATAGAACCTTGTAGAAAATATGAAGAGGGAAATCCTATTACAATATTATATTTGTGGAGGAATAACAGAAAAACTGTTTTATAGTTAAGTCATTCAAAGTAATTTATTGATACTCTTAAGGCCGATATAGATGTAAATAATTGTGAGATTCACCACTAGACAACTATGCTAATATTAATTTGAATGTGAAATCAGACTGCAACATTAAGTATGTCACAAGCTAGTGAAATTCAAAAATTGTATACATCATACACGTTTCACAACAGCAAAGAAATAATTGTGGAGTGCCTTAGCCTAAGATAACACAATATGAAGCTTACAGTCCAACATGCACGAAACAGGAATAATTTAGTGCTAATTGTCTAGAACTAAAGATAAGTAGATGTGGCAACAATTTTATTTGGAAAAGTGCTCATGGAAGAAATGGGATATGACCTAGGCTTTGAAAGTTGAATAGGGATAAGAGCAGGAGCAAAGGAATATCCTAGGCACGAAGGATAACACGAACGGAGAGAGGTATAAAGGGATGCCATTGCGTGAGCAGTAGTGAGGAATCTCTATCATGGAGGATGGATAATGGAAAGCGCTGGGAAGATAAAATTATTTCAGCTTTAGAAGAACCTTTTAATTGAGCCAGAGGAATAGGAACTTAAGTTGTTCAGCAAGGGGACAGTACAGATGTTGAAGTCAGTCGCTGAATTTTATAGATAATAGGAGTGGTCTAGGAAAATGAAGTGATTCACTGAGAAGTTCTAAATGTGTGGTTAAACTAGTCATGGCTTAAAATGTTTCACTGTCTCACCAGTATAAAGGACAACATCAGAACAGCATACAAAGTACTTCAGACCTATCCTTCTCAGCCTGCTGTTGTGTTAATGATATAATCTCCATCTGAAACCCAGCACATCTGAGAGAGTAAAGTAAGCTGTGTAGATTTTATATTCATGTTTATATTCATAAGGGAAGTATATATATTATATATTATTGGATATGGCCAGCAATTTATAAACATAGCTTTAATGAAAGAATGAATATATATTAATGAAATGGTCAATAAAGTCAAGATTCAGGAAGGTAAATTCAGAGAAAAACCTACAAACTCTGGTAGTCTTCAACAGGATAGTTCCAGTAGCAAGGTGGAAAAGTAAGATTGTAAGGGATAATAAGCAAGGGGCCTGTTGATAGGATACATCAAGGTAATCGATAAAGAAAAAGAAGTTAAGGCCTGGGACTGAAAAGAAGACATTAACAAGATGATATACTGCATCACCCAAAGGTTTTATTCAATCTTTATTCTTCCACTTCAGACTTTTGGAGACTTAGTATCAGGCTCTGCTCTAAGTCCTGGATGAATAAGCTCAAGGGACTCTCAAAGACCTCCTTAATATAATGATGCAGAAATACATATTAACAAAAAATGAAAAATGGGAGAAAAACATGTTAATAAAGATATCTGGAAAGTGTCCGAAGAACAAAAAAGAAGAAGTCACATTCATTGTTGTTTTAAAGGACAATTTAAACAGGGAGAAAATGTATACAAATTTCAAGCATAAAGTAATTTTTTCTTATTTTGCTTTTCTAATAGAAAATAAAGGATGAAAGATGACATCAGGAGTTAGTAAAATGAGGGAGCTAGCTTAAACAAGAAATCTCAATAGCTGACACATAATGATCTACATGTAAATAATACACATTAAAAAACAACAAATCAAAAACACAAAATAGTTTAATGATCAAAGGATCATTCTATATTAGATAGAGTATCTTCTATATTCTTCTGTTAAAATCTTTGGTTACGAATGATTTTTCACTATTTCTTCTGCCATGAATTTTCTTTGAAAATTCAGCTAGAATCTAACAAACCTCCAGATTTATCCCCCACAATATTGGAGACTCTCCAGAATGCCTAGACATCTGCAAGCAATGTCTTATTAATCATTAAGAGTTCAATAAACGTTTGCTGAATGAATGAAGGAAATACATTTTCTCCTACATACAAGAGGTAGAGAAAAATACAGCCCTATGATCTACAGAAAAAATTCTGCAGGGGACTCACAATACTTCAGAAGATAACCAGATGACTGGAGTTCATGGCTTTCACTATTCTGCTTAGTCTCATGTCGATTAGGCTAGGAGGTTAGGCTTGATAACTTAAGAGATGTCTACACATTTCCTTATGGTTATATCAAGCCTAAATTTCTGAGCCAGAATTCTTCATTAAACCTTAACCCTCTTAGTATAATGAGGTTCAGCAGGAGGAAACGTGTAGTATCTGTCTTGGACCTGGATTTGGTCTCTCCCTATTCTTTCTCTTTGCTCCACCTCTTGGGAATATATATAAGAGAAATAATAAAACAAAAAATTACTGAGATCTATAAAGAG